AAGCTGAACAACTTACCTCTAATAACTAAAGCAAATGGCAGATGTTAGGATTTGATGCCTTTTGATAATGTTATCCTGTCCCTTATAATAAATCCCACATATGTTATACTAAAAGTTTTGGGGAAATACATGAATAGAAATAAGTTTATTTCGTGCAAAACATTTTGAAATAAAGTATATGCAGCGTCTTCAAAAAGTTAATGAAAATGCATGTTGTGAAACACCTTGTATAGATTTGAAATTTTTGCACAAAAATAAACATTAATTAGTGTTGTTAAACCTATTTGAAATACCCACAAAAATGATGATAATGGCTCTGTATCTCTGGAGAATACTAATTGGAATGATTGTCTTGAAACTTTTAGGGGGGAAAACACTCAGTTTCCCTTATAAAGCAGAATTTTTGCTGTGGATTTTTTTATAGAGCCCTTTGTCAAGAAAGGAAATTCCTTTCTGTTTGTGATTTTCATTGAACTGATGGAAAGACCACAACTCTAGGAACAGTGCAATAAAAGCTATTTCATGAAATGTATAGCATAATGAATCTAAAAGGCAGGCTATAGACTTTCAAACTTATTCTGAAAAAATATATGTATGATATGAACTGTAGCTGAATAAGAGCACTGTAACTAGATTTTATTCTCTGTTGATACATAGACAAGATGCTTAGGTATGAACTCTGGATCTTCCATTCATGTGCTGTGAGGTGCTTGTCCAATGAGTAACACTTTCTGCTTCAGTTTCACTGTCTGTGAATTGAATTTCGTACCATATTCCTACTATGCATTCAGAAAATACATTGAAGGAATCTTCTTGTATGTCAGACTTAACTGTTGGTTGCTGAGGAGGCTCACTTAACCAGACTAATAATTTTTTGTTTGTTTAAAAATTTATTTATTTGAAAAGTAAAATTAGAAAGAAAGAGAGAGAGAAAGAGAGAGAGAGATAGAGATCTTCAGTCTGCTGATTCACTCCTCAAATAACTGCAATGGCCTGGGCTGGGCCAGACCAAAACCAGGAGCTTGGAACTCCACCTGGATCTCCCAGGCAGATGGCAGGGTTCCAAGTACTTGGTCCATCTCCTGCGGATTTCCCAGGCTCATTAACACTGAGCTCCATCTGAAGTAGAGCAGCTGGGTCTTGAACCAGCACCAATATGGGATGCAAGTGATGGCTAAACCCACTATGCCATAATGCTGGCCCATCAAAATTAATCTTAAAGTCCTTTTCTGAAGCTTTAATTTCTTGATCACCTAAGTGTCTACTTACTTATTTTTTTTTATAATTTTATCTGATTATCAGGCACTTAATCTTGTCTCTTCTTGCATCTATAAATTTTTGAGTGATGGAAATCTTTTAGAAAGTTATTCACAATAATTGTACATATTTATGGGCTACAGTGGGGTCATTTCTATGCATATTTACATCATGTACTGATTAAAACAAAATAATCAACATTTTCCCTTCTTTGATGTTACTTTGTGATTGGAGGCTTGAATCTTCTTTTTCTAATTGTTCATTCCACAGAACTAGGTTATTTTGAAATACAGTCACTGTACTATACTAACACTAGGAACTTACCTCTTTGTTCTAACTCTTATTTGGTACCCATTATCCAAATTTCCTCCTCTTCTAGAACTCCTGGTCTCTGGTGATCATCATTCTATGTCCAGATGAAGTTTATTTTAGCTCCCAGATATGAGAGAGAACATGTGATATTTGTCTTTTTGTGTGTGGTTTATTTCACTTAACTTGAAACTCCTATCCATTTTACTACAAATGACAATACTTCATTTTTTTATAACTTAGTAATATTCTATTGTGCATTTATACCACATTTTCTTTATCCATTAATCTGATGGTGGACACCGTGACTGACACTGTATCTTGCCTTTGGGAACAGTGCTGAAGTAGACATGGTGGAGCAGTGGGAAAAAATATTTGCCAGCAACTTATCTGACAAAGGATTAATATCTAGAATGTGTTTGGGAGTTAAAAAACTCAACAACATAGAACAACCAATCCAGTTAAGAAATGGGCAAAGGACCTGAATAGACAATTCTCAAAAGAAGAAAACAAATGACCAACAAATATGTGAAAAAATGCTCCATCCATATCACTAGGCATCAGGAAAATGCGAATCAAAACAAAATTGATGGGGCTGGCCTTGTGGCATAGAGGTTTAAGCCCCTGCCTGCAACACCAACATCCCATGTGTGCAGCAGTTCCTGCCTCGGCTGCCCCACTTCCTATCCAGTTCCCTATTAGTGGTCTGGGAAAAGCAGCCAAGGATGGTGCATTGTTCCTGGGCCCCTGCACCCACATGAGAGACCTGGTTGAAGCTCCTGGCTTCAACTTGGACTAGCCCTGTCTGTTGTGGCCATTTGGGTAAGGAACCAAAAGATGAAACATCTATGTCTCTGTTTCTCCATCTCTCTAACTTTGCCTTTGAAATAAACAATTCTTTGAAAAAAAAAAAAACACACAAAACACTAAAATGTATCACCTTACACCTGTTAGATTGACTGTTATCAAAAAGAAAGTAACAAATACTGATGAGCATATGAGAAAATGGATCTCATATTGTGTTGGTGGGCCTGTAAATTAGTACAACCACAGTGTGAAACAATGTTTATTATTCTCTAAAAACAAGAAATAGAACTGCCATAGGATCCAGCAGTCTCACTATGTGGTATATATCCAGAAGATATGCATTCATTGTATCAAAGAGTGATGGATATTTTATATGATGAGAGGTAATTGATGACACGATTAAATAAAAGTGCTGGGAATGTACTGAAGAGTCAGTGAATAGTAAAAGTCATTGTTGTTTTATATGATCATTCGGTATTCTACAGTCACTAAGAATTTGTGTTTATAGTTGATGCTTTTCATGGAAGCGATATATATGTTTATAAAGACCTTCAAATGTATATTAAACAAAAACCAAAGGAAAAATTATGGATTGATTTTCGAGGGTTATACTGTTAAGTTCATTTTCTCATCTTAAAATGTATTTTTAGAGCAGTTGTAGATTTGTAGAAAAATTACAATTGTACTGTGAGTTCCCATTTATACTTACATATAATTTCTGCTGTTATTAGTATCTTAGTATAGTTAATTTGTTAACAAAACAAATAACAAGAGTCAGTAGTTTATTTTTATTTTCTTAATTTTTAACTAATGTGTTTTTCTGTCCCAGTAGTCTATCCCAGATACTATATTGTATTTCTTGTCATGTTTCCTTAGGTTTCTCTTGATTTCAACATTTTCTCAAACTTTTCCTTGTTTTCTTTTTTCTTTTTTTTTTTGACAGGCCTGCTGCGGCCCGCGCGCTGCTGATGGCGCACCGTGCTGATCCGAAGCCAGGAGCCAGGTGCTTTTCCTGGTCTCCCATGTGGATGCAGGGCCCAAGGACCTGGGCCATCCTCCACTGCACTCCCAGGCCACGCAGAGAGCTGGCCTGGAAGAGGAGCAACCGGGACAGAATCTGGCACCCTGACCGGGACTAGAACCCGGTGTGCCGGCGCCGCAGGTGGAGGATTAGCCTAGTGAGCCACGGCGCTGGCCACTTTTCCTTGTTTTCAATAAACTCGATAGTGTTAAGGAATACTAGTCTGGGCTTAGTCTTACTTTTTTGATGAGAAGAAGAAATGTTCTCAACTATTCTTATTATTAATTCTTTATTCAGGAAATAAGATATTTTGTTCTAATTTAAGAGCAAACTATGGGGGCTTGTACTGTGGCATAGTGGATAAAGTTGCCGCCTGCAGTGCCAGCATCCCATATGAGCTCCATTTCGAATCCTGGCTGTTCCACTTCTGATGCAGCTCTCTACTCTGGCTTAAGCAAGCAGTAGAAGATGGCCTAAGTGTTTGAGTCTCTGTATCTGTGTGGGAGACCTGGAAGAAACTCCTGGTTCCTGGCTTCGGATCAGCTCAGGACTGGCCGTTGCCATTTGGGGAGTGAAACAGCAAATGGAAGTCCTCTCTCTGTCTCTGTCTCTCTCCTTCTCCCTCTCTCCTCTCTCTCGCTCTCTCTCTGCCTCTTTGTAACTCTGCCTTTAAAATACATAAATAAATCTTAAAAAAAAATAGAGCAAACTAGGTTTCAATTACTGTTGACAAGCTATTCTGTAATAGTAAAATGTGTGCCTGGGAGTGATGAAAAATGAACTTGAGGTGCAGTCCTTTTAAAAGGCCCCTCAATTGCCTTTTTGATTAATGGGATGCCATTGAAGGATGTTAACCAATGTCCAGTATCATGAAATGTTGTAGTCTTGCTCAAGCTAGGTGAAATGAAGAGAGAAAGAGCTTCTTTTAATTTAGTGAGGTGGAGAGTAATCTGAATATAACATTTTTTTGTTGTTTTAATAATTAGGGTTCAAACTTCTTCAAGCAATGCTACCTGACTTACTAACTTACCTTTGTTAAAAAAGTGAAGGGGGGGGGGGTCCAGTGCTGTGGTGTAGTAGGCTAAGCCTCCGCCTGCAGTGCTGGCACCCCATGTGGGTACTTTTTTGAGTCCTGGCTATTCCTCTTCTGATCCAGCTTCTTGCTAATGTACCTAGGAAAGCAGTGGAAGATGACCCAAGTGCTTGGGCCCCTGCACCTGCATGGGAGACCCAGAAGAAGCTCCCTTTCTCTCTACCTTTCAATTAAATAAATAAAATCTTTTAAAGAATGCAAAGAGGGATTTTTTCAAGGCAGAGTTAGATGCCTTGTGAATGAAAAATATATTTACAGAATACTTTTAAATTTTTAATTTTTAACATTAATTATTCATTTATCAATGTACCATATTTCAAATTCCTATGTATTATGTACAGAACTAGTTGTTAGTTGATGTTTCTTGGTGGTAAATGGATATCATATCATATGCCTCTGATAGATATCTTGATTTTCAGTCCAATTGCTGAATAGAAAATGCATTGTGTTTCTCATAACTTAAATGTGTAAAGTAACAGGTATTAACTATTTTATTTTATTTTATTTTTGCAGAACTATTATGGAGCTGCTAAGATGATTTTTTCTGACAACCCACTTGGTCTGACTTGTGGAATGGTGTGTCCAACCTCTGATCTTTGTGTAGGTGGATGCAATTTATACGCCACTGAAGAGGGACCAATTAATATTGGTGGTTTGCAGCAGTTTGCTACTGAGGTATGTAAGGAAGACACATTATCCTATATTCCTCCAAAAGATCTTAAAATAAATTTAACCCTTGGTGCTCTGTTGAAAACTAACAATTTTAATGTAGTGCATAACTAAAGTGTGTTTCGTGCAACAGGCAATATTTTTATTCAACAACTTGGCTACAAAAATGAAAGCTTATAAAGCCATATGTCAAGTTACTTGCAATCCCAGTAGATTATTAAAATACTTTAACTGAAAGTAGTACATAAATTAGATGATCTGAAAATAGAACTTATTCATTAAATTTACAGTGAAGTGTGGCAAAGAAACCTTATTATTAAAAGGCTATCTTTATTAACTGATTTTTTTTGTTTCCTGAAACTCTGTTTAATCTTTATACTTTGAAATAATATGTCAGTAGGATTTTGTGATGTTCTTTGAGTAATAGAGATTGTAGGAACTTAGAATTTGGAACTTATAGATTTATAGGTCTATTATGTATAAAGATAATAATGAAATGGAATGAAAGGTTTTTTCTTCACTATTTAGTCTATCAACCAGAGTCCTATCTTTCCCTTTTATGAATCCTTTGTTATCAAATTTGGTTATCTGGGACATCCGTGTGCTCTCTTAGGTCTCCTATTTAAAATCAACTTGTAAGTCAATTCCCATGTATCATTTAAATGATCAACTTATATGGAGGTTATAGTAAGATTATATAATCTGTAGGGACTGGTTGTCTGGAAGGCCAAATTAAATGTCTGTCAACACTGGATTTTTAGTTAGTGACTTACCTATCTGGTTTTATCAACTCAAATACAATGTATTTTTTTCCCCTTGTTGGACTCATACCATAATATCCCTCAAGCTTAAGTCTCACTTTGCTTTCAGTAATAAATCAGGGTTATTCCCTTCCTGCTTTCTGACAGGTTAATTCTAGGGATGGGCTCCTGGGAATAAAAAAATAGAAACAATTTGAGCTTGTGAGTTGTTGCAATAAATTATTGGATTTAATTTCTTTTCTTCCCAAATTCGAAATTGCATTAGGCTTAACTGACCAGTTCAAGGTATGATCTTTACAGCCTGGGAAAATCCTTAGTTGATGGATAAGATACACTTGAATTCCTCCCCATCTTTCTTTGGGGACCCATTCTCTCTTCATTAAGCTGAAGCAAGCTTGCATAGGGTACAGTAAGTGAAAAGGCATGCAGTGTGTGTATGAAGTAACATTGAATTTCAGAACAAATGAGTTAAAGTTATATGGCTAGTTTTTGTCAATGATGAGGGAGGGTGGAAAGAGAAACTATCCCTCTGGAAGCTCTGCCTTGGTTTTAATTATGTTTTATCACCCCTTCTTAAAGAAAAGTCCATTTGTTTGAATCTCTACTTATGTAAGAGCTTCAGATATATTCTCACTGTTGCACAGAATTCATTAGAAACCCACTATAATTTTAGAATAGCCATGTTAAGGGCTTTCTATAAGTATCAACTAATGAACATATAATCAAACAGAGGAAAGGACTACAATAGATTGTTTTAATTGAATCAAGAAATCTAGTATAGGAATGTATTGTCTTGTTCCATTCCTATCCTGCCCTGTGTAGCTGTAATTTCATGTCATATCATAAATAAAAATGTCTATTGAAATTATTTTTAAAAAATTTCCATTCATATTTTAGGTTGGCCGGTTAGGATGAGATGTTTTTGAAAGCTCTATATTTCCCAGGTGAAAGTGTTTTCTACTTAAAGTCATTCAGTTATACAAATTGTTTTGAACATAGCAAAACATAAGTAACATGTGAATATCAGTACAAGAAAATATAAAGTTCAAAATAATATTATTCTTCAAAACTACTATTTGAGTATTTAAGCCAAAATACAATATGATACAAATAATTTTGTTTGGTTTGATAAAATAATGATTTATTTTTGACCTTTAAAGAAATACAAATCTATTTTTCAAACAAATTAAACAAAGGTTAGGAAAAGCAGGCTAAAAACTTAATATTTTTCAAAATTGTTCCTCCTGTAACTTTTAAGTGATTTTTTAAATATCACCTCAGGGATCTGCCATTATTCCTTAGGTTCAAATCTTGTATTTTTCGATTTGAACATGACCATGTGATTTGGAGGGACTGTGGGGAAAGGGAATAGATCACACATGTAGAATGTAGCCTGCAGTAGAGTTAGGAGATCATACATATATGTGTGTATATATATACTGTGTTGTCATTACTCTTTAACTCTCTGCTGTTTGCACATTTGCAGTGATTACAACTTTGCTTTGAACACTTTTATTTGTGATGGTACAATAAAAAAACAAGCTATAGGGATTATTCTGTCTCTCAGGAAGTGACTTTTCCTAATAACAATATTGAATCCTTTAATAATATTGCTTCAGCAAAATGACTTAGAAACAATGGTTTGGTGTAATTTTTTTCCATTTTCATGGAACTTATAAATTTCACTGTAAAATTATCTTTGAAAAATTTATTTTGAAAAGCATAGTGTATTTAATTGAATTTTTTAAAGATTTATTTATTTTTATTTGAAATTCAGAATTACACAGAGAGGGGAGTGGCAGAGAGAGAGAGAGAAGTCTTCCATTCCATGGTTCACTCCTCAATTGGCTGCAATGGCTGGAGCTTTACCGATCCAAAACCAGGAGCCAGGAGCTTCCTCCAGGTCTCCCACTCAGGTGCAGGGACCCAAGGACCCGGGCCATCTTCCACTGCCTTCCCAGGCCATACCAGAGAGGTAGAATGGAAGTGGAGCAGCCGGGACTCAAACCGACGCCCATACGGGATGCCAGCGCTTTAGGCCAGGGCGTTAGTCCCGCCGTGCCACAGCGTCGGCCCCTAATTGAATTTTTGGAAAATCCATCTATTCATTAAATTTAAAAGACCAACTAGATTCATTGTCCCTCAAATTTAATTAATGAATTTTTTGAAAAGGAGAGAAAAATGATAATGCATCTTTTAATCCATTTTCTGAAGTTTGCAAAAATGATTTTAAATTGAAAATTACAGTATGCCAAATCTGATCCCTTCTACTTTAAAGAATTATAGAAGCAATTTAGAAAACTAAGATTAAAATTCTAAGCTTCTAAATTTTGATTAAATACTGAAATAAATGAGAAAGAAAATTAACACTTAAATTGCTGCCTCAAGTTAATATACTAGATTACAAAATTGAAATATAAGAATGGCATATATTTTTCACAATAAACATTGACATTTTTATAATATCTATTACATATATTATTTAATATAAGCTTCTTGGCACTGTGTTTTTTTTTTAATTTATTTTTTGACAGGCAGAGTGGACAGTGAGAGAGAGACAGAGAGAAAGGTCTTCGTTTTTCCGTTGGTTCACCCTCCAATGGCCGCCGTGGCCTGCGCGCTGTGGCTGGCGCATCGTGCTGATCCGAAGCCAGGAGCCATGTGCTTTTCCTGGTCTCCCATGGGGTGCAGGGCCCAAGTACTTGGGCCATCCTCCACTGCACTCCTGGGCCACAGCAGAGAGCTGGCCTGGAAGAGGGGCAACCGGGACAGAATCCGGGACACCGACTGGGACTAGAACCCGGTGTGCCGATGCCGCAGGCAGAGGATTAGCCTATTGAGCCATGGCGTCAGCCGGCACTGTGTTTTTATTTAGGTTTAATAATTTTAATTAAAACTGGAGCTGGCAGATGGCAAATTTCAGACTAAATCAAGTGACATTTTTGGTTGGGATTGTGTGTCTTAGCAGGCTTTTAAAATTTCATCTCAATTGACACACCCAGTTATAGTCCCATTAGTGTATCTATTTGCAATAGTGCAATAATTATTTTGTGATTAATAAAATGTATTTCATCAAGTTAAACATATATTACAAATAAAACACAAAACACTAATTGTTGAATCTGGTGTATGTTTTATATGTCCTAAGAAATGGTTGTAGAAATAGTGTGGATTTCTTCAATGAATACTAAAATTTAGAAACCTTTTCCTGTGTTTATTGGCCACTATGCTGCCTCAACATTGATTTTTTTAATCAATGTTCTTTGCCTATTGTGTGGTATGTGTTGTGATGGAAGGATCCTAATTATATAACATACCCACTCTTGGATAAATGCGTATTTTCTCTATGGAAAGTAACTTAAGGCAATACCATTTATTGCATAGTTTGTTGTTTTGAAACTGATTTTTTTAAATACCTCTAATTCAAAAATGTAATATATGTGAGTTTCTCTATTTTTTGTTTTTGGGAGCCTCTCTACTCTTCTACACTGATCCATTTGTCTATTCATGCATTGATAGGAACTATATTAATTTATATACTTTTATTATATATTTTGACTGGTAGGATATATTATTCTTGAACTCCTTTTCAAAGAATTTTGTTGACTCCCTATAAGCCTTTGTAAAATGAAGAGCATAATGTAATTTAGAGGAGACTATAAGCATATTTGAAAAAATATAGAAATATGTATCCTAATAATCAAAAGTGTATTGTATTCCTTTCCCAACAAAAATGTGTTGTATGGTATGTCTTATCTATCAAATGTGAAAATAGAGACATTAGGATCTGGCACTGTGGTACAGCAAGTTGAGTATCTGCCTGTGATGCCGCATCCCTTATGTATACCAGTTCAAATTCTGGCTGCTCCACTTACCATCTAGCCTCCTGCTAATGTAGAAAAGCAGCAGAAAATGGCCCAAGTATTTGGGCTCCTGTACCAATGGGGAGACCCAAACGAAGCTCTTGGATTCTGGCTCTGGCCTGACCCATGCCTGGATGTTGCAGCCATTTTGGGAGTGAACCAGCAGATGGAAGATATCTCTGTCTCTCCCTCCCTCCCTCCCTTCTTCCCTCCCTTCTTTCTCTTTCTCTCCTTCTCCCTGATGCTCTCTCTCCCTCTATATCTCTGCCTTTAAATAAATAGATAGATAGATTTTTTAAAACTTTTATTTAGTAAATATAAATTTCCAAAGTATAGTTTATGGATTACAATGGCTTTCCCCCCCAAAACTCCCATCCCACTC